GTGATGATTTGCCCTACAGCCACAACTATCTGATGGATACAAGAATAGTCATTGATTTTCGATCATTGTTTTTTTTTTTTTTTTCTCTCCCTCATTGCAAGGACAGAAACGGTGACTTCCAAACTCTTTAATTGTCAGAGCTGAAAGTGGGAGATAACTTTAAATTCATTTTGAAGCTACATGTATATAGAATGTCAATTTGAAGAAATGCATGTAAATTGATCCTGGGCAGGAATACCAACAAATTAAACTTGAATCTCAAACTAACCGCAGTTGCTAAAATGAAATGCTTAGAGTGAAAGAAAAAGGGTTCAAAATAGTCAGATTTGAAACTAAACTTGCATATATAGACCAAAATGGAATAAGTAAAAGCAATTGGGTCATACAGCAGCCACCCAAATATTTGAAAGGAAAGACAGAAAATATCTATTATGAGTACTGTCAATAAAAACTGCAATAGGCTATTTCTATTCCTTTCTTTTGTCCTGGATTTTAGACACAGCCCTCCATTTCTCAGAACTCAGAGCACAAACTATGACATGATGGTCTAAATAGGGAATTATGTATTAAGAAGAATTGGAATGAGTTAATAACTTAGCGATTATCAATTTTTGTATAAAATAGGGATCCTGAAGTGTAGTTGGCTGATGTTACCCCCAGACAGGTACAGTTGGATAGAGACTTGACTCCTCCAGTTTATCCTGTAAGGCATCTCGATTGCTTCTGTAGCTGGACCATTAAGACCTCTCAATTTATCTTCTAAACTAATTTATTAGAAGTAAGGGGGAGGAGCAAATTCTACATCTTTACAGTACCTTGAAGTCAGATAAGATGTTGGTTATGCTTCATTGAACACATTCATTCTGCTGACTTTTTCCATGTAATAAATATAGGTATTTCCATCATTTGTTAGAGCTTTGTTCTTTAGCATTATTGACAACAATCAGCTTTTCCAAATTATTTCCATATCTTCTTCTTTTTCTATGTCAATTTTCTCCTTTTTACAAAAGTCTGACCAGTTTCCAGAGTTCCCTTTCTGTAAATTCAGACTCCTTGTGAAGACATGGCCATTACTGCCACTATGTGGCTTATTTTGAAAGTACTTAAAAATAAAACATGCAGTTGGATCTTTAATCTTAAAGTAATAACCCTGAAGTTTTCCCTAGCCTCCATAGCTCATACTCATGATACATAGCCCTGTGTGATTTGACACTGGAGATATGTTTTTAGCAACGCACCATTAGATTTCATCGTTGTGCATACATCACTGAGCATAGTTATACCAACCTACCTGGTATAAGTCAATCTTTGGCATGGCCTCTTGACACAATCAAGATATGGGGTCTAAAGAAGATATATGAGTCTGCTCCTGCCTTGCCTAACATCCCATACCGTTTTATGTATACAGTAGTAGAATCATCATTTATTATCACAAGTATTCTTACTATACCTAATTAAATGTGTTACACTTTTATATAACTGGCAGTGCAGTATGTGTATTCATACCAGGATCACCACAAACACTATGGTGTTTCATATCCATTACAGACAGTATCACTAGGTAGTAGAAAGTTTTCAACACTGTTACTTTTATGGGACCATTGTAATATATGAATTCTGTCTGTCCAAAAAGTTGCTATGTGGTACAAAACTATACTTTTCTTCAAAGTTAAAACTCAAATAATAGTATATAGTCTACTTTTAAAAATCTGCATGCAAATCTGCATGCTCCTTTCAGAAGCAGTCCTTAGATTCCAGATACACATGACATCCCCAGCAACCACTACCAATTGATTAAAACACACATGTATACCATAATACATATATATAATCTGTATTTAAGTAAACACAAAGTTAAATATGTACGTATAACCATATATTCAACATATATATTTAATTTTCAGAAGTGGGTACGTGTTCACACTTTGTTGTATCTTGCTTTTATTCTTTGGATGACTATAGTATTTATTTTTAGACATTTCTATTGTTTCCATTTGATTCTTTTTTGTTGTTAAAAATTAAAATTTGTGCTACTGACATGCCCTAAGAATTAGATCATTTCATACTTTTGCAGTTATATCAATGATGGAAATTTCAGAAGTAATGTTTTAGATTGAAGAGTATGTATTCAAATTTTTGAGACATATTGCTGATTTGTTTTCTAACAAATACTACCAAACTACCAAATACCGCTTCCTGTATCTTCCTTTTTACTAGTTATTCTTGAAATGTAATTTTACATATTCTGACTACTGCCCTTTTGCAATGAGTACCACTGTACACTTTTCCATATGCACATGCCTATTTTATTTTTCTGTGAAATTCATTTTCACTATTGCCTTTAGTGTTTTCTAGTTAAATTCTGTGTAGCATTTGCATTGCAAGAATAGTCTCTAATGTATGAATACCAATATTTCCCCAGGTTTTTACTCGTGTTTTCATTTGATATAATCATTTTTTCACTACTGGATATTTAAATCAGTATGTAATCAAATTTAACATATATATTTTTCTTTATAGTCTTTATGTGCTGCACCCTGGCAAAAAATGTCTTTCACCCTTAAGGATGTGAACAAACATACCTGCATGGACTTATAAAGCTAAAATGTATTTGCATGAAATATATTTTTAACAAATTCTAAAAGTATAGATTTAACTAAAAATGCACTTTACCTTTGCTGTATTATGCTCATTGCCAAAGAGATGCTTTTATTTTATGGGATCATTTTAGTACACTTACTTTTAGTTTCGACATAGTCAAGTTATCAGAAACTTAGTGGTTTATGTTTATGATTTGTTGAGGAAGCCTTTCATTCAGTTCATTTCTTCAAACCCCAATATTTTTTTCTAATGTTTACCCATTCTTGGGTACATGTAGCTCCTTAACTGGATGTTTTTTGTGTTTGTCAAAGCGAAAAACAAATTTATTTTGCTTTCTCGTATAACTTTCACTCTAGCACCTTTATTCTTGAATTCGGTATTTTTTTCTTCTGACTTGAGACACCAGCAGATTCCTGTAACATCAATGAAGTCTCTCAACATGTCTGAGTTTGCCAAGGATTTCATGCAGAGCTATTAGTTTTACTTTGCATGATCCACAAAAATTTATAAATATTAATCACGGTGGATTTTTACTGCTTCTCATATGAAATACCCATCTTTGTGTCTTTTCAAACAAATTTTGTATGGAAATATATTTGATTTGCATTACTGCTATTATGAGCTGTCGTTGTTTTTTCTGTAATTTTTTAGATTTATCCAACATAAGAATACTAAAATATTCCATTTGTTTTTTCATTTTTTAAAAACAGAGCTATTTCAGCTAGTAGATGACTGAATTTATTAACTCAATGTGTGAATCTCTCTCTTTTAGCAGTTAAATCTACCCATCCATAGTGTCATCATTATTAATGGTTTCACATTTCCCCTGCCATTTAATAGATTTTTAATTTTCAATTTATCATTCTCTCTTGTTATATACCTTCATAGTTTTTATTGAATTAATGTTTCTGGGTTTTTTCTTTCTCTTGGTTTTTATATATTTCTGATATTCTAGTGATTATATGTATGTGTATATATCATCAGTCTCCAATAGTAATCAGCGTCAATATTTTACCCCTATTCTTGAAAACCAGAATGATGTTTTTTTTAAAAATCATGCTTCTCTCTTTTCTTACTTGTATTCCTTACTGTTATTTATAACTTCCAGTCATGTGGAAATGATTTGAACTTTAGTCTCTTATGTTAATTTTAAAATCTACATTTTTATAAGACCTTTCAACTCTTTGCTCTTGGATTCATTTATGCTCTTGGTAGAATACTTTTTCTTCTCCTTTCAGAAGCAGTCCTTAGATTCCAGATACACATGACATCCCCAGCAACCACTACCAATTGATTAAAGATGGGATCTGTGCCGGACTATATGAATTCTCCTTTCCTGGCACTAATTCTGTTTCTTATAATTCATAGATGATGTTACTGTAAAGCTAGAAAATATCTTAGAATGTCATTTTATTATTGTACATTTTGTATTGCATCTTTGGGCTTCTTCAACAGTCTTGAAAGGCTTTTTGTATTGATTTGAGGTTAAAAAAAATGTATCAGTTTCTTTTTCAGCTTTTGTTTATCCCTCTAATGCTGGCTTCTTTGCTTTTGAAGTGGGGGAAAAAACTTGAATGTGTTTTATAGGTTTTCACTTGGTCAAACTAGTACTCAAGGTTTAGATCTTGATAATACACTGGACACTAAATATCCAGAATTGACAGTCTCTATCCATTTTCTTACCAGTCTAAATCTGCCATTTGGGGGATGTTCTTATTGGGAGTTTCAAGAGGAACCTTTCATTTCCTTCTACCTGCTCAATTGCCAAGTGTCCAGGGAATGTTCAGCTTAACCTTGCTGGCTCCTGGAGATGCTGCCTGATATTTCTCATGGGGCCAAGTTTCCTTCATGGCATCAACTCTAGGCCTCGGTGCCTTGTGAAACATTATAGTCAAAGGTGAAGCCAGGAAATGGGAACTATATACAGTGAAATGCTCACAAATTTCTTAAGACGGGGCAATTACCTGATAACAAGCTGAAAGAGAAAAGCAGTGGAGCATGGTGGGAGGTATTCTGGATCAATGTCCTTCACAATTCTAAGAACATTATGGAGTTCATTCCATCAGTACTTATTGATCTGCTATTATTAGTAACTCAGTAACTAATCTTTTTCTTTTTATAAATTATACATATGGAATAAAGTATACTTGTACGTGCTTTTTGACCAAAAGGAACAGTGTGCTACAGGTGTAAACATGGAATTCTAGAGTAAAAAAACCCTCTTGAATGGATCTCACCTAATCTCAGAAGACATTGGGGTGCATTTGGGGTGTGTAGTCAAGCTTATGAGAAATGAGATTCTCCTTGTGTCTTTCCTGGTTCTCAATTATTAGCTCATGTGCAATTGGCCCTCCTCTCACAAGACACCTCCAACTCAACTCTGTCATGATTTCCTGCAGTATTCAAAGGCAGAAAGGCATCCTGTGACTGCGCTGGAGAAAATGATGGAGTCAAGTTTTGGTGGTCCCCAGCCATTCCCTGCGGTCCCTTCTTCTGACAGAGGAAGCCAATCTGTCAAACACCACAGGTACTGGTAGCTAATTATGGTGGCAGTGGGCACATTCACACTGGGCATATGCTGCACATATATGCCAGGGGATGGCAGAGGTACCCAGTGGAGGTGACTGTTCTTGCTTCTGCTATTGTACTTCAAGGAGATGTTCAAACAGCTCATAGCTGGTAAACCAAAGATCCAAAGATACCAGTTTCCCCTGCAAATGATGACAGGAGACTGAACAAAACTGGAAATACCACTCCTCAGAGCTACAGGCATAGAGCCACTAATGAAACAATGCAACATGAAAAAGTATTAGAAATATAGTATTTCCTAACCTTCCTTATCACTGTCTGCAAAGTCAATGTCTAATTCTCCCTTATGGAGTTGATGTGGAGACCTTCCAAGTCTTATAACATGGTCTTCAAAGAGGAAAATATTTGAAGGGAAATGCTAGTGGATCTTCTTTGTGAGCCTGCGGGATCTTCTCCAGCCCTAAATAGCAGTCTTTTGCAAGGTGACCACAGAAACTGATTCTTTAGGGGAAGAAGACAAATATAATGCTGTTTTTTACATTTCACGACATTCTGTACCTGAATATGTTTTTCAGGCCTGTTTGTTTTCATATGTGAAAAATCTTCTACTCCAGACCAAGTGGTAAGGTTTGAGACTAGAAGAAACACTGCATATGTCCAGAATGTACACCCTTGGTCTGACTGAGGCTTCCTTTTCTTAATGAAAAGTATAATATTTTCAAAATATAATTTACAATTTTAATTAGACCAATGAAACATAAATGCTCTTGACCTTCCTTTTTTTTTTTGCATATATCTCAGCAGATCTTTATACACCCCCTTGTCAAACACATAACAGCAGAAAAGGAGCCTATTTCTTTCCTTACCTCTGAGGAAGTCTTGTAGAAGGGTTTTCCTGTTTCCATTCACAGTTACTTTCACATCACAGTCACTCCCCTAATCCACTTGATGGTGATTTTTATTATTGTTTTACATGAGTAGTTACTGAGATACTAAGGTTTTGCCAATTTTTTTTAAAAAATGGTTTACTTATCTTCAATATTAGGATTGAAATATGCTTAGCTCTTGGATAATTGCTTCATCTGTTGACGGGAAGTTTTGATTTATACTATTTATTGCATTTACAGAATATTTCATCATGAAAAGAGCATTTCACTTCATTAGACCTAATGGAATTTGTCTTTATTAAAGAAATAAGCCCAAAATTGCCAGCTTTTGAGAAGTTGGATATATTTTATAAAACAGTACTTCCCCCTCCTGAATACAGTATATATTAAGTAGTATTCTGTCCAGTCCAGTTAGAGTTTACTATATTACTCTAGGACTACATTATACATAAATACTTTCAAGTTGAGATTTAAAAATATATATAACATAATGTTTTGGAGATTCAATGTCCCTTCTCCCTGTTCCTGTATCTCCTCATAAATTTATCCTCTGCACAGGTTTCTAGGAGTTACTTACAAATTAAGTTAGGACATCTTTAGGAGAACTTTTTTCTGCTTTGTTCAGTGACGCTGTAGTATTTGTTGGTGCCCATTGTGTCCTGATGGGCAAAGGCTCATTTATAAAGTGCTTATAGAACATAATTTCATTATAAATTATAATTTAATATACTGGCAATTATAATTTAACTTATTGAAGCTTTTGTTTTGTAAAACACACAATAGGCTTGAACATTTTCACCAGTGATAACCCAGTCACTGATTTATATGTCCTTCAAACTGCTCCCTAACTTCCTGAATACCACTGGGCTTGTATGCTTGAAAAGTTGATTGATCAATAGGTCCCACTTCACATTAGTAGGCTTTGTAGTTATGACAGGGTAGCAAATTATGAAGAATTAATTTCTTTTTTGTGTACTGAAAATAATTCCTTTGGATAACTTATTTATGAAACAAAGCTGTTAATGCAAAGCTGTTGTTTTTCATGGTTAGTCCAGAGAGAGGGAGGGGGAGAAAGAGAGTGGGGGGGAGAAAAAGAAAGAAAGAGGGCCGGGGATTGAGCTCAGTGGTTCGGTGTCCTGCCGCGCAAGCGCAAGGACCCGAGTTCGATCCCCTCTACCAAAAAAAAAAAAAAAAAAAAAAAAAAAAAAAAAAAATAAGAAAGAAAGAAAGAAAGAAAAAAAGAAAAAGAAGGAAAGACAAACAACTGCCTCTTGAAGAAATCTTCTATGGCATGCCACTCTTGTTCCACTGTATTTCGGCTCTCTAAATTGCTTATTAAAAGCATACATGCAAATTTCCTACAGTGACACGAGTCCAAGGTTCTCAGTGATCAGGCTGATCCTTCCAGTTGCCAGCTGTGGTAGAAGAACAGAGAAGAAAACACACGCTGTTGAGCATCTGCTGTTGGCGGGCCTGTGCGGCCCTCTCTGCCTACCCTACCCTCCATAGTAATCTGTGGAAAAACACACAACATGCTGATGTCTTCGATCTGCTGCTCTCCTTCACCCCTGCACCCAGTCTCTACCTGCCTTTGCCTTACCTTGGGTACCAGGAGGGCTGTGGGCTCCCTTGTTCTCTGGCTTTTGTTCGCTTAGTGTGACTGAGGCTCAGACAAGAGGCAAGTAGGAGGAAGGTGAACTCGTGGCACTTCTGCCCTTGTCCTCCCTGCTTGGTTGACTAAACTGTCTTCTGGAACCACAGAGCCAGGCTGGTAGTCTTGGCCTTGCAGCTGTCTCCGTTCTGGTAACTGCTCCCACTCCTCGTCTTTGTAGCAGAAGGACAGTAACAGCTTAGTACTGTTACTAGATCTGAGACACAGTAGTATCTCATAATTTTATTTTTCCCTTCAACAGTAAACTCACCTTTGAAATTGTAAAAATCTCAAATGTACAGTGTCATTTATTTCCCTCAAATACTGTAGTACAAGTACTGTCCCCACTCATGCTTCTTAGTAAACATATACATGAGATTTCTACCCACAGCTAACTGTAGCCCTCAGGACTTCTTTCATACCTTATGCATTCTGTAATTGCCACGGGATGATAGATAGATGCAGACAGGTAAGGAAACAAATTAGCTAGAATGAGAACCTTCAACATGTTGGCTCAGACAGCAAACTAGATTGCACCTTATTGCTAGGCATCCTAGGACTCAACAGAAAGGAATTATTGTGATCAAGAGTGAAGATATAATGATGGTGCCAATATATCTGTTTTCTGTACAAATTTAAGAAGTTAATGTTGGCTTGTGGAATATAAAGTATAATTAGTCACTTTGCCAAAACCAGAAAAGTAGCTTTTAGCCCTCACATGTCAAGTTCTCAAACTCTAAATAACATTTGCAAAGCTTTGCTTTATAGTTAAGTAGAAATAATAGTAATATGGTTGGGGGTGACAGAACTCAAGTCATATAGTGATATGGGTAGAGTTTCTTTGTTTTGTTTTGTTTTTTGGGTTTTTTTTTTTTTTTTTTTTTGGTACCAGGGATTGAACTCGGGTCCTTGCGCTTGCAAGGCAGGCCACCGAACCACTGAGCTAAATCCCCGGCCCGGGTAGAGTTTCTTTGGCACACTATCCCCTTTAGAACTTGGTAGGCTTGCTTACATTTTTAAAATCTCTTAACTTTGAATAGTTGTGTTGATATTTTCAGAATAAATGTGAGTCCTCATAAAGTTCTTAGTTCACGTATGTGCACATGGCAGAGTTAGTCTGACTACATACAAGTGCATCTTGTGTAGTGTCTGCACCCAGACCAAGTTCTCCTCACGTATCCAATTCAGTGGCATGGAAATGGGAATGGACCTGGAATATTCAATGAGTCACATTAGCCACTGATTTTTCGTAGCATATAGTTGGTTGGCTTATATAATCTGCATATAGGGGTCTCGTTTTGTTATAACACATGAGGGTCTAGGTGTTTTGGGTGCATCCACCAAATGAAATGTTAATCAGACATTTATTAAAAGCAGACTGAAAAGAAAAAGTTTGAAATTGATGAAAATCTGAGATAGTGAACTGAGAATTTAACACATATGCTAAGAAAAGAGTGCCAATTAAAGTAAGATTTGTTTATTCTATCACTGAGAAGTGAAAAATTCTCTATGAATACCTTCTGGGCTTCCTGTGTTTTGTTCTTGTCAGTGTCTAATAAGGCCATTTTTATTCCAATTAGACAGCTACTATGGTTTGAATACTGAGTGTAGAAAGGAACAGGGATCTTGGGATTTCTTAAAGCTCATTTCTTGCTTTTGGTTGGAAAGCTGCAATTATTTTAATCAGTAGTGCTCTAAACTAGAAAGCCAGAAGGTGAAATAAATCAGGCACTGCCTGATCTCATCCATGCGCAGAGTCCATATGCATGGATGGCCTCTCGCCTGGAATATTGAGGATCTGGGGAGCAAATGCTATGTTTAAATCTGAAAACTATTGCTGTGATCTCTTTTGTTTGTTGGTTTTCTTTCTTTTGTTTTTTGTTTGTTTGTTTGTTTTGTTTTGTTTTGTTTTCCAACCAAGCAGGAGTCTCTCCTCTTGCTGTAGCCCAGGGCAGAGAAGTGGGATGCTCCACAGGAATGCCTTCAGGAGGACACCCCCCTCACCCCGAAGCAGACTGGGTGGAATTGTGGGACCAGCATATGAACAGCTTGAAGAATCAAGGATCCCAGACCAGGATATGATGCCCTGCCAAGGGTAGGTCTTAAAAACAAAGGCATTTAAGGGGTGTTATGAGTACTAGTGCTTTAAATTGAGTGATACATTCCTAGTAGTTTTATTTAGTGATTCCTTTATCAATTAGCTATTAATGCCACTTCCGTCTTTATTCCACAAAATAGTGAACTGTCTGAAAAGAATGGGTATTAGGGAAATGTTAGGTGAAAAGAAATATAAAGAACAGAGGGTGGCTCTGGATCTGGTGGACACAGAACTTCACAAGGATATAGTGAGTGTAGTGCAAGATGGATTTTAGCCATTATTTATCCAGTTCACATATCCAGTTCAATCAACCAAAAATGGTATACCAAGAAAATTATATATCCTGGGCTTATTCACAGGCTACACAGAAAGAGAATCACCAAAGCCAGATTCACAACTTAAAAGTAAGAATGATCTAGAATAAACTGAGTACCTAACCACACTTAGCTACCAACTGTAATTCAGTTGTTCTTTTAGAAATGTTTTAGCTGAACACACCAAGGGTACCAGAGTTTAAACAGCTTTGTACTTAAGCTCTGTAAAATAGTTGGTCAGATATTTTTTTAAAAATGGGTTAAAGAGCTCATACCTGACACCCAGTAGTACTATTATTTATTATCACAGTAATAGTCATGATGTTACCATCAGTTTCAAGAGTAGTGGAATCAAGGTTTACTGTGATTCTTGTGAAAATGAGCTTTTGTCCTTGAATCATCCAGATTAGGTCTCTATGCTTCTGTAGCCAGGTGATTTTTTTTTAGTCTTCATTAAGCTAAAGAGCAAAATAAGTGGGCAGTCTAGCACTCTGCCTTAACTTTCCCCTTTCTTCTGGGTATGGGGTGGATGGAGCAGCACTCTGTCTGACAAAGCTCGTCATAGATTTCTTTAAGACTAGAAAAAAGGACATAAATAGCCTGTGGCTAGGTTTTGTAATTTTGAAGCAATTCCAAATGGGCTGTAAAATGCATTTTGCACAGATTTAGGGTGACAGTTGCAAATTCAATCTAACGGCCAAATTGTCCAAAATGTGTAACACATTACCTTTCTCTTGGCCTTAGATCTTTAAAAAAAAAAGGGGGTTGCATCTAACCTATAATTATAATTGATTGTTTCATAGTTTTCTTTACTCATCACTAATGATGCATCTTGAGTATGTATGTGTGTATGTGTATATATATTGCATTTTTAATGGTGCCCACAGTAAGTGATCAGTAGGTTTTTGTCTTATATATATGCTTTTTTTTTCTTGGAATGAATGTTATTGTGACAACGAATAAGGAAAATCAACTTCAGGATTTTTTGAATGGACAGAAGAACCTGCCCTAGTGTCGTTCCTTCTGCAGAGAGCTATTATGGCTATGTTCCTTGGATTCCAGGGGTCAGGATGCCCTGTACCTGTGCCACACTCAGCCTGGAGTACCACTTTTTCCTATTTTTCAGGGATTGGAGTTTCCTATTGCATGTTCAGTCTCTGTTTTGTCCTTTACCTCCTGGGGAGACTCCACTTAGTGTCAGCATAGTGGTGATTTTGGCTGGCCACATGTGTGATATTCACTCGATATTGATAAATGGTGACTCTAAGTATAAGTCACTCTGTACTCAGCACAACGAATCTCAGGGAGCAATCTCATTCTCAGTTCTTAAAAACAGCTATTTTCCACTCCCAGGGGACTGACTGTCTCTCTGGACTGGAAATGGGATTGGTAATAGAATTTCACAGTTAAAGTCCCTCTTCAAATCTGGCCTTAGCCTGGAGAGGGGAGTGAATGGATTTGTAAAAGCCATCTGCCATCTGCTGTTTGCTTACTGAACATGTGGTCCCTGTCTGCTAGTTAGGCTCCCAGTATATGCCCCTCCTCTTTTTGCCAAGAACTTCATCCAGCTTGAACCTAGCACCTATTTTAGGGTTGCTTGGGGAAAGAGTGAGACAGCCTGATTGGTAACAACCAGGGTGATCACTCACACATTTCTGAGCTGGATTATGTCAGGCAAATCAAACTAGTGCGTTCGTAGACTACATAGAAAGGAAATTAGCAAAGGTGAAATCATATCTTAAACATAGGAAGTATCCAAAATATACTGAGTTTCTTTTTTTTTTTTTTTTTTTTTTTTTTTTTT